TTGGCTCTGACTTCCCTGTTTTGCGTCTGCACTCGGACAGAGGCGGAGAGTTCTCCTCTGGCCTCCTGAGTGCCTACTGTCGTGCGCGAGGCATCCGTCAGACCTTCACGCTTCCGGACTCACCGCAGCAGAATGGGATTGCTGAGCGCCGCATTGGCATGGTCATGGACGTCGCTCGTACGTCCATGATGCATGCGGCTGCTCCCCATTTTCTGTGGCCGTTTGCGGTCAGGTACGCTGCGCACCAGATCAACCTCCACCCCAGGGTCTCTCGACCGGAGACCTCCCCAGCCCTGCTGTGGACGGGGAAGGTTGGCGATGCGTCGGCGTTCCGGGTCTGGGGATCTCGGGCGTTTGTTCGCGACCTGTCTGCGGACAAGCTGTCCCCTCGTGCTTCTCCCTGCGTCTTCCTGGGGTTCCCCCCCGACGCCCCTGGGTGGCAGTTTTACCACCCCACCTCTCGACGTGTTCTGTCCTCCCAGGACGTCACGTTCGACGAGTCGGTACCCTACTACCGCCTCTTCCCCTACCGCACTCCGTCCCTCCCCCCACCCCCGCTCTTCTTGGTACCAGGTCCCCCCCCGGTAGTCCCCCTCCCCCCTCAGGGTCCTGCCCCTTCAGGTGTGTCCCAGGTAGACGCGGTCGAGCCTGTCGAGGTCACTGGTGACTCTGGTGCTGCTGCGGGAGCTGAGCCTGGGGGTGCGGAGTCTGGGGGTGCTGAGTCTGGGGGTGCTGAGCCTGGGGGTGCTGAGCCTGGGGGTGCTGTGCCTGGGGGTGCTGTGCCTGGGGGTGCTGAGCCAGGGGGTGCTGAGCCTGGGGGTGCTGAGCCTGGGGGTGCCGTGCCTGGGGGTGCTGTGTCTAGGGGTGCTGAGCCCGGAGGTGCTGTGCCTGGGGGTGCTTCGTCTCGCCGGGAGCCACTCTCCCCACAGGAGCTGCGTGAGTGGTTTGCAGGGCGCTGGAGGCGTGCTGCTGGTGCTGGTGGTTCTTCGGCTGCAGAGGGTACTGCTGCTGCGCGCCCCGCCGGCGCTCGTACTGTGGGTGCTGGAGCTGCTGATTCTGAGAGTTCTCCTGGAGCTGGTCCTGCTGAGGGTGTTGGCGCTGAGCCTGCCGTCGGCGGCCCGACTGACAGTGCTCCTGGTGCTGCGGCTGGAGGTTCTGGAGCTTCTGGTGGTGCTGCTGGAGGTGCTGCTGGAGTGGGTGCTCCTGCCGGGGCTACTGGTGCTGTTCCTGCTGTTTCTAGCGTCGCCGCGCGGCCCCGACCGTACTTCGTTCCGCTCCTGCAGCAGGTTCTTGGTCTTACACCTCCTCCTCCTCCCTTAGAGGGTCCGCAGCCTGTCCGGTCACAGCCACAGCTACAGCCTGCCTCCCCTTTGCCTGCTCCTTCTCCCTACGCTGGTCCGACTGGAGGTCTTACTGAGCGTCGTGAGCCTGCGTCTCGTCCTGCGTCGCCTGTTCGTACTGAGCGCGCTAGTGGTCGTGGGTCGCGTCAGCGTCCTCCTCCTGTCCCTGGCACGCACCGGATGTCACTGCGTCCGTCCACTGCTCCTCTGCGTGCCCCTTTGCCTTCTCCTCCTACTTCCTCTCTTCCTGCTCTTGCCGACCCGGAGTCGGACACTCTTCGTGCTGCCAGTCCTACTGTCACGCGTCTCCTGGCTACTGCTGTCACTAACCCCTCCTTTGAGTCGTCTGCTGCGTCTGCCCTTGTCACTAAGCTTGTCGACTTTGCTGCACGCTGTCGTCTAGACTACGCTGCTCGTCTTGTCACTGAGTCTGAGTCTGCCTGTCCTCCGTCCGTCGGGGGTGAGTGTGCCCTTGGCACGGACGTCCTTGAGGACAGGCAAGAGGAGTTCCAGTGTCTGGCCGCCGCTTCACCTCGTCTCGCGTGAGCACTGCTAGCCCCTGAGGGAGACCCGGATGCACCAGACATCCCGACTCCGCGCTCTTACGCGGAGGCGATAGAGGGTCCCTACTCCTCTCAGTGGCAGGCAGCTATGGATGCAGAGATGGCTTCCTGGAAGTCCACAGGCACCTACGTTGACGCTGTTCCCCCTCCTGGGGCGAACATCGTCAGTGGCATGTGGATTTTCAGGGTGAAGCGGCCGCCGGGTTCTCCGCCTGTCTTCAAGGCGCGTTACGTGGCTCGTGGCTTCAGTCAGCGGCAGGGGGTTGACTACTTTCAGACCTTCTCCCCCACCCCGAAGATGACCACTCTTCGGGTTCTGCTACACGTTGCTGCTCACCGTGACTACGAGCTGCACTCTCTCGACTTCAGCACAGCTTTCTTGCAGGGCAGCCTGCACGAGGAGATCTGGCTACGTCGCCCACCTGGCTTCACTGGGTCTTTCCCTCCTGGTACCCAGTGGAGTCTCCGGCGTCCAGTCTACGGTCTCCGCCAGGCTCCACGTGAGTGGCACGACACACTGAGGACTACGCTCGCGGCACTTGGGTTTGCTCCTTCCACTGCCGACCCGTCGCTGTTTCTGCGCACCGACACCTCTCTGCCGCCGTTCTACATCCTCGTGTACGTCGACGACTTGGTCTTTGCCACAGCTGACACTGCTGGACTCGCCTACGTGAAGTCCGAGCTGCAGAAGAGACACACGTGCACTGACCTGGGTGAACTGCGCAGCTACCTTGGCTTGCAGATCACCCGGGACAGAGCACGCCGCACCATTACCCTGACTCAGTCACACATGGTGCAGCAGGTCCTTCAGCGCTTCGGCTTCACGTACTCCTCGCCTCAGGCCACTCCTCTGCCTACTCGCCACTCGCTCTCAGCTCTGCCTTCGGATGAGTCCGTAGAGTCGAGTGGCCCGTTTGCAGAGCTTGTTGGCTGCCTCATGTACCTGATGACCTGCACACGACCTGACCTCGCATACCCTCTTAGCATTCTCGCACGCTTTGTTGCTCCTGGGAGACACCGACCAGAGCACATGGCTGCAGCGAAGAGGGTGTTGCGCTACTTGTGCAGTACGTCGGGCATGGGGCTAGTGCTTGGAGGGCGCAGTCCAGTGGTCCTCACTGGGCACGCAGACGCTTCTTGGGCTGACGACCAGGCTACGCAGCGGTCGTCACAGGGTTACACCTTCAGCCTTGGTTCTGGCTCTGTCTCGTGGCGGGCTACCCGCTCGTCTTCTGTTCTCGGCTCCAGTTGTGAGGCTGAGATCTACGCTGGGGCTATGGCTGCACAGGAGTTACGCTGGCTCACCTACCTGCTGACCGACCTTGGAGAGCAGCCTCGTTCTCCTCCAGTCCTGTACGTAGACAACAAGGCCATGCTGGCCTTGTGTCGAGAGCAGCGACTGGAGCACAGAACGAAGCACATTGCTCTTCGCTACTTTCTTGCTCGTGAGCTACAGCAGCGTGGACAGCTGCGACTTGCGTACGTGGCTTTTGAGGCCAACACTGCTGATGTCTTCACCAAGGCACTTGCGCCTTGTGATCATCAGCGTTGCTGCACGCAGTTGGGTCTTGTGCCTGTCTTGCCTCACTTGCTCTCCTCTTGACCTTGCTTGTACTTTCGCATATATATACTCTTGCTCTTGTATATCTCTATATATGATCTTGCATGTGAACTGGCCTTGTGGCCTTTGAACTTGTGCTCGGAATGCGTGGTGACTTTGTGATCCACCCTGAGCTTTGCTTTGCTTTGCTTGACTGGTCTTGTGACCCCTTGTTCTCCCCCACTTTGCCTATGGGGGTGTGTCAGAACTTATAGCTTACTTGTTTGTGTAGGCTATAGTGGGGTATCCCATAGGGGGTACAACCCAATTAGGGTTTCCTATTTGTACTCACTTCGTTCATAGTCATCTCATTCTCGTTCTTTGTTTTCACAGCTTGTTGCGGTTTGATACAGTGCGACTCGGGCAGCTGCTCAATGTCGAGTCAGTTGTGTGTCCTTGCTGTCGCGCTGCATTTGTCAGGTCAAAGGTCGCTGACATTTGACTTTCGCGTAACCTCCAGCGGTTACATCAACCTCCGAGGGCTGACTCACTGGTGCCTCGATATGCTCTGCTTAGCTTGTGTCTTGGTGTTTCGACACGACAGAGGCGCTTAAGATTATTTGTTCCCAACACCCCTTAGTGTCTTGTAAAATAATGAGGAATGATTGAACTAGGAACTTGTGTGAAACCTTAGAAACCTGTATCCGTTAGTGTCTACCCCACAAGAGCCTACAAACACTATGTCATATATATCTGACGATATGGCTAGCTAGGAATGCTGTATAAACTCTTTGTTATTCTATCTTTATTACAAACAATGTCATTACAAAACTCCTTAGTTTCCGTCTTACTTATCCAGCCTTATCCTATCCATCGATTCTCTCGTTATATCAACACATAAGACCCGGAGAACCCTCTTTTTGGAGGGTCTTATATCCGGGAAATGACGGCATCGAAGCAGTAAACATTGTCAAGGCAAAGGATTTTTTCTTATAGGGCCTAAGATTGGAAAAAAGATTGTGCCATTTGCCTCATATAATGCCCTGGGACCAATTTGATTTGGTGGGGGGGGGGGGGGGGGGGGGGGGGGGGGGGGGTGGGGGGAAGTGGGAGAGGAGAGGAGAGGGGGAGAGGATGGGGGGAAGGGGAGGGTGTTCTATCCGTGGGGATACGTGTTTGGCATATTATGTCCTTCCATTGTTCTATGGTCTGATTGTTGAAATCGAACTTGCATTTCCGTGCTCTCTTTTTTGGATGTTGGTGGTGCTTGTAGCATATCGAGTACAACTTTAGGCCTAACCAAGGCTCGCCCATCCCCTTACCACTATTTCCCATCGCATTCGCAGCTTCTGATCGCCTTTTCCTAACGTCGTCCCGCCGCCCTCCAGGCGTGCTGGTCAGTCGTAGTCTTGTCGGAAACAGGTGTGAGGGTTGTTCGTGTCATTTCTCTCGCGGCTAAGCTTCTTACGGCCTTATATTTCCAGGCGCAGACGAAATTAAGCTCCTCGCCGTGTTAGCATGGAGGATGCAGAGGCGCGGCGATCTCGCCTGCGCGGCATGCGCGAGTCCGCGGCGCAGCAGCAGGCGGCGTCCCCCGCGCCCGTGCCTTCCGCCGCGCTCTCCGCGCTCCCCTCCCCCGATTTCTCGACTGCCAGCGCTTATCCGCATGCATCCGCGCCGGCGCCAACGGGGGAAGGCGGACATGGGGGAGGTAGATCTGCTAGACGGCCGGCAGCAGGAGGCTCGGGGGGATTTTCGTTCTATACGGATCCTATGGCAGCCTATCAGCAGCAGCCACGTGTAGGGTCCGGATTGGGCCCGCCTGCCGCGCGCACTCCCTCCCCGCGCTTGCCTTCCGCGCATCTTCCCCCTTCCCCTGTTCCTTCCCCCGCTGGCTCCGCCGGCCACTTGTCTTCCGCAAACCACCATTCCGTTCCGCCCAGCTACACCCCTCCCCCGGGCCAATCCCCTCTTCCCGCGCACACCCCCCTTCCGCCCGCCTACACCCCGCCCCCCAACTTCACCCCTCCGCCCAGTTACACCCCTCCGCCTGGCCGCGCCCCTCCCCCATCTTCCGCGGGTCCCCCAAGCGGGGGACCATTCAGTGCGCCCATCCTCCGCCATCCCCCCCCGGGTGGCGTAATGGGGGTGGCGTTCTCCCCCCTGCCTGCGCCCATGCGCCAAGCCACCCCTCCCTCCGCGCCCCTGTACCAGTCAACGCCTCCCCCGGGTATGACCCCCCCTGGCATGCCTGGTGGTGGTGCGGGTGGCGCTTCCCCCATGTACCTCCCCCCTGCCTCGTGGGGGGGTCCTCCTGGCGCAGGTGATCAAAGTTACGCTGGGTCGGGTTACCAGCCACAGGGTTACCCGCAACAGGGTTACCAGTCACAGGGTTACCAGCAGCAGGCGGGCAAAGGGTGGGATGGCGGAGGGAGAGGGGGATGGGGGCAAAGCAGAGGAGAGGGAGGGGGAGGGGGAAGAGATGGGGGCAGAGGAGGAGGAGTAGGGCAGTGGGGTGGGCGCGGGGGCATGGATGGCAGGAAAAGGCCTTGGGAGGGGCAGGGGGCGGGGAGAAGCAGTTACGATAGGGGAGGGGAGGGTGCGAGTCCAAGCGGGGGTGGAGGGAGAGGGGGGTGGAATAGGGAAGAGAGGGGGAGTGGAGGAGGGTGGGGTGGAAATAGAGGGGCAGGAGGGAGGGGAGTAGCAAGAGGGGGAAGGGGAGGGAGAGGAGGGAGGGGAGGTAGAGGTAGTGTTTCGGCACGGGAGCAACCGGAAGCATTTTTTTCGCCAAGGTTTCTAGAGGATCCGTGGAAGCACTTGAATTGACTCATCAAAACCTTATGCGTTCCGTGGCTCGTTTCGGATATGGGTTGTGGTTTTAACAGCCAGATTACAGTTGAATAGATTGCTGATTTGTTGCTTCATCCGGGTTCCAAATCTTGGGTGGCAACGGTAGCAGTTACTAGTATAGTCTTATCTACAATTTGTAATGCAAAATAAAGATGATTTTTACAATTGATAGTTTGCTTGTGTTACCAAACGATCAACTCCAATTACTGATGTGGAATACGAGACATTCCAAGTCGAAGCAAACTCCAAGAGCCAGTCACATATTCTTTCTCCTGGGACGAATTTGGTAACCGTTTTTTCCTCTCTGGTCTCGCAAATCGCAAATCCTAATCACAAACATTCGTTTTGAACAGAATGGTTTCGAATGGGAGATCCTTCACGGCCTTGTTCGGTAGACACCCAGTGCGAGTGGGCCCACTCGCACTGGCGAGCCTTTCACTGAACTTCCTAGCCTCGGTCCTCCACTCTCACAGAAAGGCACCTTCGCTGCTGATTTCGGAAAGTTGCGTACGAACCACGAAGTAGTTTCACCCCTTGGGAGTGCTACTGTATGCGCTGCCCTCAAGAAAGTATTTTGGATGCCCGCTGCAATGGGTGACTTGCTGGATGAACAGTTCCAGGTGGGGAAAAAAAATCAAGCACGATGTTCCACCCTAAAACGGCCCGATATCATAGTTTACCCTCCTCTGGGTCACTCGTACTGGCTATCGCCCAGTACAAGGGGGGACCCTGAAGTGTGGTGCAACTCCACTTCGACTGCTTTTTGCCAGGGAAAGAAGTTTCTTCCTCGGTTTCGTCGCGGCCAGTCGTACCACAGTCAGAGTGGCAAACCAGAGCGTTCCGTAGACAAGTGTCACTGGCGAGGCTCGGTGATCAATTTACGGTTTCAAAGGTTTGAAGCATTTTCACATTCATTATGACGAACCCCCGCGACCCCTCCGCAGTCGGAGTGGGCTGCCAAGGCCCATATTTAACTTTTGTGCAACAACTGGCGACATTCCATTACTTAATTCCCTTACCACAGTCGCCATTTGCGAGCCGTAATGGCTCTCGCAGATCATTCCCTCGCGTCGCGTCGCGACCACGTCGCGAGGTCCTTAAACGGTTTTACTTTGCTGCGGGATGCCGAACCTTCCAGTCGCTCTCTCCAAGATTCTAACAGTCGCGATTCAAGCAGCAGCGGTAATTCTATTAGCGCCAGGGCGATAGTAAGCAAAGGCAGCGCGCTGTTTCGCGACGGTGGCTCGCTGCAATCGCACATGGCCGCAGCCCTTTCGAGCGGAATGCGCGCCGCTGCTCCGCTAGTAGCGGGAGGGTCGGCACAGGCGCAGTCCGCGCAGCAGCAAAACCGCCGCCCGGAGAAGCCTTTGAAGGCGGAGGAGCGGAGAAATGCGGAGATGGGAAATGGCGGAAGTAATGGGGGGAAGAATGGCGGGTTGAAGCGAGGCAACGGCGGCAGCAGAAAGGAAAATGCTCGCTCTTCAAATCAGGATTCCCCTCCCTCCTCTCCTTCCTCGCGCTCCTCTCCCTCTTCGCCCTCCTCTCCTTCCCTCTCCTCGCTCTCCCCGTCCTCGTGGATTCCTCTCCCCCTCTCCTTTCAAACCCCTTCCTCCTCTGTCACGTCACCATTCCAACTCCTCACTCAGTTCAGACTCCTCTCGGGCAGCAATAACTTTCACCATGCTGCCCGCACTGTTCAACCGAGTGACACTGTACATCCGGGCGGCATCTGGGGGAGGCTGGCGCAGGGAGGCTGGTGGCCGGCAGGGGAGCAGGCAGAGGAGGTGGAGCTATCCGGAGTGCACAAGGTGGGTTCAGACTCAGTGCGGTTCACTGCGATTGAATGCGTTTTGTTTGGTGTTTTAAAACCGGAGGTCCAAGAGTTTCTAAGTTAGGAAGGTTGAAAGGGGAGAGAAAGGTGACTGGCTCGCGAGCCAGGGTGGTGTCGAAATTGGTGGTCTGGGGTCGTAAAGGAAGAAAATTTCACGGAAATAACCAGATCTGGAATGCAACATCAGAACTGGTTCGCAGACAGTTTCGGACGGGCTTCAAATTTGTTGGCGAAATCGTCACTGCTTTCGTCCTCACTAGAACAGTAGTTTCGCGTGATGAAAATTGTCCCCCCCGATTTGCGAAGTGAGTCGTACCTTCTGCGTCACCCCTTCTCAAAGTTAGGAAGGTTGAGGCACTTTGGGGCTGTTTGGGACTCCGGGTTTAAGTGGCCCACTAGATGCACAAGGAGGCCAGTGGACAGGGGAGCAGTCAGAAGAAGCTGCCGAACCAGATGCGGTGGTGTGCAGTGCAGTGCGGCTTAAACCAGTTTGCTGGTATTCACTTTTCCGCCCGCCTCCTTATCTCTCCACTCTCCCGCCCCTTCCCACGCAGCTGGGCCTGTGGACCACAGTAGAGCCCTGCATTCGAGCATCTCGGCAGCATCTGGGGGAGGTACATCTGAGGGTGGTGCGCCGCCTCGTGCTGCCCCTCCCAACACTCTCCTCCCCTTCCACCACACCCTCTCAACTATCCTCCTCCTTTTCCTCCTCCTCCTCCTCCTCCTCCTCCTCCTCCTCCTCCTCCTCCTCCTCCTCCTCCTCCTCCTCCTCCTCCTCCTCCTCCTCCTCCTCCTCCTCCTCCTCTTCCTCCTCTCGTCTCGCAGCGCCGGGCCAGCTGGCACTGACAGCTGTCTCGGATACGAGGAGCCGGGCCGTGGGAACAGCAGAGGTGCTCATAGGGTGGGTGCTCATAGGGTGGGTGCGCTTATGAGTGATTGATGATATGTGGTGGTGATGGTGTGGGTGCCAATAAGGTTCCTGCACGTGGGTTTGGGGCGCACAGCTGTCTCCGACACGAGGAGCCGGGCCGTGGGAACAGCAGAGGTGCTCATAGGGTGGGTGCTGAATAGGTAGGGTGGGTGCTGAACTGAAAGGGTGGGTGCTGAACTGAAAGGGTGGGTGCTGAAATGAAAGGGTGGGTGCTGAAATGAAAGGGTGGGTGCTGAACTGAAAGGGTGGGTGATGAACTGAAAGGGCGGGTGCTGAAATGAAAGGTTGGGTGCTGAACTGAAAGGGTGGGTGCTGAACTGAAAGGGTGGGTGCTGAACTGAAAGGGTGGGTGCTGAACTGAAAGGGTGGGTGCTGAACTGAAAGGGTGGGTGCTGAACTGAAAGGGTGGGTGGTGAACTGAAAGGGTGGGTGCTGAAATGAAAGGGTGGGTGCTGAAATGAAAGGGTGGGTGCTGAAATGAAAGGGTGGGTGCTGAACTGAAATGGTGGGTGGTGAACTGAAAGGGTGGGTGCTGAACTGAAAGGGTGGGTGCTGAACTGAAAGGGTGGGTGCTGAACTGAAAGGGTGGGTGCTGAACTGAAAGGGTGGGTGCTGAACTGAAAGGGTGGGTGCTGAACTGAAAGGGTGGGTGCTGAACTGAAAGGGTGGGTGCTGAACTGAAAGGGTGGGTCTTGAACTGAAAGGGTGGGTGCTGAACTGATAGGGTGGGTGCTGAACTGAAAGGGTGGGTGCTGAACTGAAAGGGTGGGTCTTGAACTGAAAGGGTGGGTGCTGAACTGATAGGGTGGGTGCTGAACTGAAAGGGTGGGTGCTGAATTGAAAGGGTGGGTGCTGAAATGAAAGGGTGGGTGCTGAACTGAAAGGGTGGGTGCTGAACTGATAGGGTGGGTGCTGAACTGAAAGGGTGGGTGCTGAACTGGAAGGGTGGGTGCTGAACTGACAGGGTGGGTGCTGAACTGAAAGGGTGGGTGCTGAACTGAAAGGGTGGGTGCTGAACTGAAAGGGTGGGTGCTGAACTGAAAGGGTGGGTGCTGAAATGAAAGGGTGGGTGCTGAACTGAAAGGGTGGGTGCTGAACTGAAAGGGTGGGTGCTGAACTGAAAGGGTGGGTGCTGAACTGAAAGGGTGGGTGCTGAAATGAAAGGGTGGGTGCTGAACTGAAAGGGTGGGTGCTGAACTGAAAGGGCGGGTGCTGAAATGAAAGGGTGGGTGCTGAAGTGAAAGGGTGGGTGCTGAACTGAAAGGGTGGGTGCTGAACTGAAAGGGTGGGTCTTGAACTGAAAGGGTGGGTGCTGAACTGATAGGGTGGGTGCTGAACTGAAAGGGTGGGTGCTGAATTGAAAGGGTGGGTGCTGAACTGAAAGGGTGGGTCTTGAACTGAAAGGGTGGGTGCTGAACTGATAGGGTGGGTGCTGAACTGAAAGGGTGGGTGCTGAACTGATAGGGTGGGTGCTGAACTGAAAGGGTGGGTGCTGAACTGGAAGGGTGGGTGCTGAACTGATAGGGTGGGTGCTGAACTGAAAGGGTGGGTGCTGAACTGAAAGGGTGGGTGCTGAACTGAAAGGGTGGGTGCTGAACTGAAAGGGTGGGTGCTGAACTGAAAGGGTGGGTGCTGAACTGAAAGGGTGTGGAGGAGCTCCCTCAAGGGTGTGGAGGAACGGGTTGGGTGCACCCCAAACCCTGTTTCTTAAACCCTGGGCTCGGGGAACGGGTTGGGTGAACCCCAAACCCTGTTTCTTAAACCCTGGGCTCGAGGAACGGGTTGGGTGCACCCCAAATGGTGCTAGAGGAATGGCTTGGATTGAGGCGTGGATGATGGCTTGGATGGAGGCGTAAATGATGGCTTGGATGGAGGCGTGAATGATGGCTTGGATGGAGGCGTGAATGATGGCTTGTCAGGGTGGCGTGTGAGGCGTAGTTGCGAAGGCGTCGCAATGTGGCGCGGGAATCGGTGAGCGAGGGTTGGCGGACGATTGCGAGGGGCCCCCTCTGTTGGGGCTCTGTTGTGCGGCTCGCGACGTTGAATCCCTTTGGGCCTCCTCCCCCCCTCCGTGGGCCTCCTCCCCCTCCCTTGGGCCTCTTCCCCCCCTTGGGCCTCCTCCCCCTCCCCTAGGCCTCCCCCCCCTCCTTGGGCCTCCCCCCCCCCCCTTGGGCCTCCTCCCCCTCCCCTGGGCCTCTTCCCCTTCCCGGGCCTCCTCCCCCCCCCCTTGGGCCTCCTCTTCGTGTGTCTGCCCTTCGTCCCCTAGTCTATTTTCTTCCCGCACGCCACGTCGTGCTAGTTGCGCGTAGCTTCCTGCTACCGTTGACCCTCGACCTCTTCTTCCGCTCCGTCGCCCTCTGCTGTCTGTGGCGTCCATGCGCTCGCCTGTGCGCTCGCCTGTGCGCTCTCCGGGCTTTGCAGCGGTCGTGGCGAGCCAGGCGTAGGTTGCCGTCGCCGCCGCTGGGCGTGCAGGGGCCACCAAGCTCTCCGGGCCACCAAGATCTCCGAGCCACCAAGCTCTCCGAGCCACCAAGCTCTCCGAGCCACCAAGCTCTCCGAGTCACCATGCTCTCCGAGCCACCAAGCTCTCCGAGCCACCAAGCTCTCCGAGCCACCAAGCTCTCTGAGCCACCAAGCTCTCCGAGCCACCAAGCTCTCCGAGCCACCAAGCTCTCCGAGTCACCATGCTCTCCGGGCCACCAAGCTCTTCGGGCCACCAAGCTCTCCGAGCCACCAAGCTCTCCGAGCCGCCAAGCTCTCCGAGCCACCAAGCTCTCCGTGTTAGTGTTAGCCTTCAATCTCACACTTTGTACTTTGTATTTTCTGTATCCTAGAGTAGTGCAGTTTGCACATTGTGTTTGGTTGGGTGTACACCTACATTCCAACCAAACCCAAATGTCATCTCCAAGCAATCTCCAACCCACCAATTGGAGATTGCCTTGGGATTACCCCCAATCTCTATGGATTGCCCCCGATTCCCTTCCCCATCCATTCCCTCCCCTTCTTGGATGTACTTAAAAAGGTTCAAGCTCATTACTAATGTATCACTTCTAAGCCTAAGTTATGAGATGGTATCAGAGCCCTTCAAACCGCACACGCGGATCGCCCGTCGCCCTGCAGCTTCACCTTTGGGCTGCTGCCCGTCACTCCGCATCTGCACTCTTACCCCCATCCCCCTCCCTTTCCCGCAGCTGAACAGGTGCAGCAGCGCAGCCGAGCAGCAGCGTAGCCGCGAAGCCGAGTAGCCGTGTAGCCGCGAAGCCGAGCAGAAGCGCAGCCGAGAAGCTGAAGGTGGTGTGTGGGGGGGGGTGTGGGAATAGGATTAGTAGGTAGTTGACACTAAATTGCCGTTTCAGTCGAATTCTCCTTCAGAAACCCTAAACCTCAAAATTCTCTTTCGTAAACCCTCAACCTCTGGTTCTTCAAAATCTCATTTGGAAACCCCAAACTTCAAGTTCCTATCGTTGACTCAAGAGCGGCGCTCCGCGCGACACCCTAAGGGGTCTCCATCATGGCATTCGCCTCGTCCACTATGGCCAACCCCATCACCCCACTCCGTCTTGACGCCGATGGCTCTAGCTCCAACTTCAAGTCATGGAGCTATGAGGTTGACAAGCACCTGCTGAGCCGTGATGTGCAGGGATTGGACCTCAAGGATGTCCTCCTCAACCGTGGCAAGGGAAAACAACCCCTCTTCCCTCACGAGCCGACCGAATCCGTTAGTGAGGCTGACACAAAGGCATATGAGGAAGCCGTTGAGAATTACCAGAAGTGGGAGAAGGCCGATGCTGCAATTACCAGCGTCTTCATCGCCTCCACCCCTCCAAAACTTGTCAACACGTTCCATAACTACCCTACCTCCAACGCCATCCGGAAGTATCTCCAGGATCGGTTTATGACCAAGACTGCAGTCGGAGTTGCCATCCTCATCCCCAACATGTTCCAGGTCCATCTTGAGGATTGCTCAGGAATGGCCGACTACATTGCCAAGGTTCAGACCATTCATGGCGAACTCAAGGAGCTGGGTATAGTCTTCCCCGAACAAGCCCCTGCAGCAGCTCTTCTCGTTGGTATAGTCTTCCCCGACACTCCTCTCTGCCGAGAAAGACTCCACGGCTCAGGCCAAGGCTTACGCCATCCGTGCTCCCATGCCTCAAGCCAGTGTCGTATCGGCCCTTGCCTCGGCGCCCCTCCAGCGCAACCGCTTCCCACGGCGCACCTACGTCGTCAAGTATGGCAACCGCAAGGGACAAGTGTGTGGTGGCACTAACCACCCCCTTGCTACGTGCTTCAAGAAGAAAGACGACGAATGGTACGCCATCCACGACATAGACAAGAGGCCACCGAACTGGATATGTGCGCGTAAGGCCAACCTGGTTGAGGTCCAGGACCCCGCTTCGGCTAGTGCTAGTGATAGTGCTCCTGCTGATGCCCGTATCAACCTGTTGTTCCCTAGCACTGCCATGATTAATGAAGCTTCCTCCCAGTACCTCGGCTCATCACAAGCGCCACAATACATAGAGTTCACACTCGACAACAACGCCACACACACTGTACTCAAGGAGACACTCTCCTTCAAACCCTATGCAACACCCATCCCTCTCCTAGGAGCTGACTCAAGCTTCACCACTCATGCCAAGGGTTCATCCACAGTCCCGTGCCCCGCCTTCCCTTCCGGCACTGTCACTAGAATGTGCGTGCCTTCACTCCGCCACCATCTCGTGGCCCAAACGGATATTCAGGAAGCTGGACTACGCACCATCTTCTGGGAGAACGAGAACTATGGTGATATCCTCGACCCACTCACCAACAAGGTCTTGACTCGTTTCACCCTCAACAGCAGCGGCCTTTATACGCTGCAAGTACCCATCCCACAGGTGTCAACCACCCAAACAGCGGCGACTACCTCACCATGCTCGTGCCGCAGTTTCTCCAACCCGACCATACTCTACCACCATCGGCTCGAGCACCCAAACTTCCGCACACTTGCTGACATGACCTCCAAGAAACTTCTACTCGGCCTGCCAGCCTCACTTCCTCCACCACCAGACTCCCCCGCTCCCACGTGCCTTGACTGCACTAAGAGCAAACTGCGTCAACAGCCCCACCCGGCCTCACCCTCTGTCGCAGCAGGACCACTGGAC